CAGGACACTGACATCTCTGTGGATTGTAAATCAAAGTGTAGACGGAAAACCCCTGCTTTTGACTTCAGTGGTATCTAGATCTGAAATGCAAAGCTCCAATTACACTTCATGAAAGTAAATGCAAACTTTCTGAGGATGCTTCAGTCGAGTTAACTATAAACATACATAATCGACGGAATGGACTGGCCAATGGCTTGCAGAGCAACATGCCCAAGTTTTATTGTGACTACTGTGATACATACATCACCTATGACTCTCCATCTGTGAGAAAGACACACTGCAGTGGTAGGAAACACAAAGAGAATGTGAAAGACGACTATCAGAAATGGATGGAAGAGCAGGCTCAGCCTGATTGACAAACAACGGCTGCCTTTCAACAAGGAAAGACACCTCCTACTCCATTCTCTGTTCCTCCTCCTGCAGGGGCGATGACATCACCTCCCCCCAGTCTTCCAGGTCCTCCTCGTCCTGGTATGATGCCAGCACCCCATATGGGGGGCCCTCCCATGATGCCAATGATGGGCCCTCCTCCTCGTGGGATGATACCAGTGGGACGTGCTCCTGGAATGAGGCCACCCATGGGAGGCCATATGCCAATGATGCCTGGGCCCCCAGTGATGAGACCTCCTGCCCGTCCCATGATGGTGCCCACTCTGCCCAGAATGACCAGACCAACAGATAAGGATAGCGGGGAGGCCTCATTCTATCAGTTTTATCTTACCTGTTCTGCTTCACCAGGAGATCATGCTGCTGTGATGCTGGGTTTTCTAAACAGCATAAGGAAGACTTGCTCCCCTGTCCGATCAAAGAGAATAGTTTTGGAGGGGAGAGGTGGGGCAAAAAAGATGCAGTTTTCATTTGTATTGGGAAATGTGAAAATAAAATTGTCAACTCATTAAAAAAAAAAGATATGTAATCATTTAATATCAGCTCCCAACTCACTGATACCTTGTCTGGCCACAGAGTTTTCCACAGGATGAGGTTATTAATACAGGGACAGTTTTCATCATAGGAGCTGTCGATCCTAGCTCACAGGGTGTTTTGTTTTGTTTGTTAGTGTTTTGAAACAGAGTCTTGCTCTGTCGCCCAGCCTGGAGTGCAGTGGCACGATCTTGGCTCACTGCAACCTCTGCCTCCCAGGTTCAAGTGATTCTTCTGCCTCAACCTCCTGAGTAGCTGGGATTACAGGAACCCACCACCACACCCAAATAATATTTGTATTTTTAGTAGAGACAGGGTTTTACCATGTTGGCCAGGCTGGTCTCAAACTCCTGACCTCAAATGTTCCAGCCTCCTCAGCCTCCTGAAGTGCTGGGATTACAGGCGTGAGCCATCACACCCGGCTAGGGTGTTTCAGTGTTGCAGCCTCATCAGTGCATTTCTTTCTTTCATTCTTTTTTTTTTTTTTTTTTTTTTAAGATGGTGTTTCGCTCTTGTTGCCCAGGCTGGAGTGCAATGGTGCAATAAAATCTCAGCTCACCACAACCTCCACCTCCCAGGTTCAAGAGATTCTCTTGCCTCAGCCTCCTGAGTAGCTGGGATTATAGGCATGTGCCACCATGCCTGGCTAATTTTGTATTTTTAGTAGAAACAAGGTTTCTCTAAGTTGGCCAGGCTGGTCTCGAACTCCCAACCTCAGGTGATTTGCCCGCCTTGGCCTCCCAAAGTGCTGGGATTACAGGCATGAGCCACCGTGCCCGGCCTCATTCTCCTTCTTCTTCTTCTTTTTTTTAAGACCCTCCATGCTTTGAGCTCATCCTCTTGCCCCTTCTAGGCCCTTGTCTTCTGGTCTCTTCTTTTCCCTATCTGCAGATTGCCCTTGGCTTTCTAGTTCCCACTTCTCATCACCCAGCAGTCATCTGTTACTCAGCCTTGTATGCCTTTGTAAGCAGCATCCACATTTAAATCTTGTACTTTCTGTAAAATTCTCTTTGGCTAATAACACTTCAGGCACGAACATGTCTGGATAAAAAGGCTGCATTTTAGTGTTGGCGTCAAGCTCCTCGTTTGAGTTTCCTTCATATTAAAATGAAACAAAGCAAAAACAAACAGAAAACAAGCACAGAAAGCAGAAACCTGCTAAACGTAGCACTGTCATGCTACTCTCACTTTTGGCTTAGTTATGCCAAGATGATTATGTTTAAAGATGTGAAATAAGCCCATGACAATGGTGTGTTTTATTGCCTTTTCTTTTATTGAGGTTGAGAAAAGGAAGGGTCTTCCTAAAAATCAGATGATGAAACAAAAAGGTAGAGGCGAGTTTAACAGTCCATCTCTTTCATGTTTTGCTTCCTAGATTCTGCATTAATCCATTACATGCCTGGAATCCTCGCACGTGGGGAGGCTGAGGCGGGAGGATCTCTTGAGCACAGGAGTTTGAGACCAGGCTGGGAAACATAGGGAGACCCTGTCTCTACAGAAACCAAAACAAAACATAAGCTGCGCATGGGGATGGTGCACACCTGTGGGTGGTCCCATCTATTCAGGAGGCTAAGGTGGGAGAATTACTTGAGCCTGGGAGGTCAAGGCTACAGTGAGCCATGATCATACTCTTGCACTCAGTCTGGGCAACAGCGCAAGACCTTGTCTCATTTAAAGAAAAAAAGAGAGAGAGATTCTCTTTCTCCCCAGGTGGTTGTGCCACTTTAAGCCTTCTTGAAGGGAAGTAGAGGGGATGCGTGAGCACTGATCGGGCATTGCCCGGGGAGCTTGGCTGGAATCCAGGCCACACAATAGTTGCAGGAACATGTGACACTCAAATAACACAAGGCCACAAGGCAAGAGCAGAGGCAAAATAAAACCTGTTACGGCAACACTCCGGGGGAATGTGACACGTGTTTCCACACTTATTTATAGAAGCTTGTTCCACCCCTGTGGCAGAGACCTTTTGGCAGTCTTAATTTCTTTCTGGGGAAAATCTTTGGGACAAAATTTTTTTAAACGGCCAGTGCCTTAGTAACTGCACCAATGACAAAGAAATGGGAGCAGAAATGATCACCACAACATGTTCTTTTTTCATAGCATGATTGTTTTATATTTGCATAGTCTCTAATAATTAATGTATAGAGAACATGCTCAAGTGATTTTGTGACAAAATAAACGGGGAAACTACCAATCAAACCAAGGTGAAGGTGTAAAAATCAGTATAGCTCTTATAGTTACAACATATGAGGGCTGATATTTGGGGAGGAAGCGGTGGCATGCCAATGTTTCTGGCTGAGGTGGTATAGAAAATAAAGGTCACCACCTCACAGTTCTCATTTATGTAAGACTCAAAGAATGTCTGTGTTGTCAATGTTGCCACGGCACTGAGCAGCTGACCCTTGTTTCAGATGTTTGTGGTTATAACTTGCTTGTCTAGGCTCTTGTTGAAGTCAAGAAAATTTCTAGTTATTTGGTGTTACAGTTGTTAGAAATGTATCTGTCCCCATTGCTTCTTTTCTCTTTTAAATTTTTTTTTTTTTGAGACAGAGTCTCAGTCTGTCGCCCAGGTTGGAGTGTAATGGTGTGATCTTGGCTCACTGCAACCTCTGCCTCCCAGGTTCAAGCCATTCTCCTACCTCAGCCTCCCAAGTAGCTGGGATTACAGGCATGCACCACCACACCCGACTAATTTTTGTATTTTTAGTTGTGATGGGGTTTTACCATGTTGGTCAGGCTGGTCTTAAACTCCTGACCTCAGATGATCCACCCACCTCGGCCTCCCAAAGTGCTGGGATTACAGGTGTGAGCCATGTGCCCAGCTCGTTTCTTTCAGTCCTAAAGAAAATGCTCAGTTGATGGAGTAAATATTGACCCTGCAGGATACCTTGGTGTGTGCTTTGAGGGAGACACTGTGGCTGAGTGGTTCAGGCTCCAAACGCCTGAGGTTTAGAGTCAGAACTGTTTTTAAACCCTCACTCTCGTCACTTTCCAGCTGCAGGGCTTTGAACAAGTTACGTACCTCTGTAAGTTTCAGTTTTCACAGTCGCAAGGAGTTGTTATGAGGATTAAATGAAACCATGTTTGTATATTAAGGTAAATGCTAAGCTTTGGAAATAAAAAGAAGCTATAAAATATAGTGGCTCAAATAAGAGAGTAGTTTATTTCTCCCTCACCTGAGGCTGGTCTGTGGACACTACCAGTTCATTCAGGGACCCAGGTTACAGCTCTCCTGCTGCTCCTCAATCACTCGTCTTCTCGGATTGCTGTCTGCACCTCGAGTCCAGCCAGGGAAAGGGCTAAGAGCCAAAGACCAGGTAAAGTGACTAGTTTCCGCCGGTGAAGAAGACTGAGAAGGTGTGCCCGTCACTTGAGCTCAATCCCATTGCTGCATCCCCATCTTACTCACTTGGTCACGCCTCGCTGTGAAGGAAGCTGGAAAATGTAGTTTTCAGCTGGGCATCCAAGTGTCCAGTAAAAAAAGAGAGGATACATTTTGGGGAGACAACTCTCTGTCATAGCATATAGTACTCAAAACTTAGCACACAGTGCTTAAAAAGAGAAGCTGTTATTTTCATGAATTCTCTCTAGTTATGTGTTCTTTAGGTACATTTCCTCAACTAGATCATTGCCTGGAATAATTGGTATTTCTCAAGTGAGGAATACTGGATAAGGAATAAATTGCCACCATGCCCGGCTAATTTTTGCATTTTAAATATAGACAAGGTTTCACCATATTGGTCAGGCTGGTCTTGAACTCCTGATCTTAGGTAATCCACCTGCCTCAGCCTCCCAAGGTGCTGGGATTACAGGCATAAGCCACCGTGCCCAGCCCAGTGCAACTTTTTCAATGGGTTCTCTTTCATCAGATGGTAGGGGGAGCTGTGAGGAAGGGCTGGGAGCGCAAGTACCAGCAATGTTCCCGGGCGATGTCATCTAACCGGAGAATGTTTCTGACCCTCACAGAGGAGGTATATGCATGTGGGAACCAGCACCTTGACTGTGAAGTCCTTCCCACGACGTATCAGATGCTGGAAAAGCAGAGGCAGAGAGGAATACAATTTTTCCAAAAGGTGGGCAAATTTTCAGAATGCTAACTCTTTCCTGTTTGTAAACATGAATTGGTCTAATATGTTTGGCAGGCTGTGATGTTTCTCCTGCATCGTAAGTCAATACCAAAACAAGCTTCGTAAATTTTTCTCTGTATACTTAGGTCTCTGGAGTTGGCTGGATCATGCGTCTCAGTATCTCATCATTCTAGCAGACCCTAACAGCACAAGCAAATCTTCCCTAGGGGGAGAGGTGAGGAAAGAGGTCCTTCCTGAAGGTTTAGACCCATCTGGTTGGCCATGCCCGAATACTGGGCTGTCAGTTCTGGAGAGTCATTAATGACTACGAAGCCATGCTTTTTATGTAGGGCTCACATCCCCAGTGCTGCTGTCAAGTCCAGCCTCAGGTGGAGCGGTTCCTGGGAGGTCCAGCCTCTCCTGTATTTGGTTCCGTTTTTGGACAGCTTTGATGGTTAGTCTTTTTTTCCCCCACGTTGTGGCAAAATCTTCCCCTTCATAATATTTACCCACCTTACTGCTATGGGTTTCTACTTTCTGGGCCACAAAGCATAGTTCAAATCCCTTTTGCAGCTCTTTCTTCAGATGCTGTGCAGTGACGCTAAGCACCCCATATGAATGGAGCCATGCCACCTTCACTGCCTAGTTCTTGGATGAATAACAGAGTGGGAGCTGACACGCAGTCCCACATGTGACTCACCCCTGAAGAAAACATAAAATGCGTTTTTGAGACAGGGTGGGATGGAAGAGGATATTAGATGGGCGATGGATTATCCCAGTCTGGGCTCCGTGGAGATGCCATGGTCAAGTCAAGAAGACCAATAGGAGCAATGTGGTCCACACTCGGGAAACTTAGATTCTTTCCTGGAAATCATGTGCCGTGCCTGCTGTATGCCAGGCACTGGGCCAGTGGTCTATAAATGACCGAGTCACTGCTCTTGCCCTTTCTCTGAGTTTAAAGGAGCCACCCTGGGAAACAAACACAATGAGACTGGAGCATAATGAACATCAGAGGTCTGGAGGTCTCAGAGATGGGGCTGTGCTGGATGGGGAAGGGCGGCCTCCCTGCCTTGGTTTCTCTAAGCGTGGTTTTTGTCGACTAGACCACTGGGGAACAGTGAGCAGGAGGGATTCTGCTGTGCTCGCAGTGTGGTTGATGCACGGGGAGGCTGGAAGGGGAGGCTGGGAAGGCAGGTGGAGGCTGTGCCAGGAAAGACCTGGAAGTCATGGTGAGAACTGACTTTTTCCTGAAGACACCAGGCGTTGGAGGACTGTAAGCCAGAGAATGACACGATCAGCCCTGGTTAGAGAGACGGCGCTGGCTGCTGCATGGAGTGAGGTTTGCAGTACGTTGAGATTGATAGCAGGAGATCAGCCCAGAGGCCTCTGCATAATTCCAGCCAAGAAATGCCAAAGGTCTGCTCCAAAGCTGCAGGGAAAGAGGGGGCCGACTGATAGGAAGAGAAGTAGGAAAAGCAACTGGTAGGGCTTGGATCTGAGGCCGTGTGGGAGAAGGGAGAGGTGAGGAAGAACAGCCTGTGAGGGCTTCTAAGCAGGTGACGCCCATGGTGGCAGGGAAGCTGGAGGGGCTTCAACTCCTGTCGCTAAAGTGCTGAGACGCTCCAGCCCAGGTATAGCTTGCTGGGCTGGGCTTCGCCCTCTGAGGGGTAAGAGCAGGCGTGCTCTGCAAAGGCAAGAGTTAGACGCGAATCAGGCATCCACACGTTGTCGCCTTGGAAGGACAATTCCTGTCTCTCCTTGACTCTGACTAACACGATCCTAAGAACCTTCTGGGATCTGATGTAATGTCTGGGGAGCCTGGACCAGGGTCCCCAGTGCCTCCCAGGGCTGACTCAGGTCTGATCTGTGCTTGTATCAACTCAGGAAGGGCACAGAGACTCCAATACTTTCAAGTCTCCTGCCTTCTTGATAGTTTAGTTTCAAGCTTACTCAAGGGAATACCCAGCAATTAGTCTAATTTCATCCCCCTTTGCCCCTTTTTCTCGTTTCCAGCAACAAACATCCAATGTTTCTTAGATCGGTTCTTTTCTACAAACAAAACCACAATCACAGTCTGTTAGTCACCGAATTATTAATTCCTAACCTAACATAAAACAAATGCCTACGTGAAACAGTAATAAAGCATGCAGGAATATTTATTTTGAGTGACTAAACTATACACTTCCTGCTCAGTGTTAAGGAAAATTGGTCTTTATTATTCCAGGGAAATGTCAAAATCACTAAGTGTTGTAGCATTTTGACCTGCGTTATGTTGAACAAACTTTCCACATGTTTCTCATAAAAATATACATCAGAGATGGCTTCAAACTGAACGTCAAACTTAGTTAAAAGTACAAACCCCTTGAAAGTTATTTTGAATATCAGATATAACAATCAAATGCACATCAGCGGGGGCCGGATTTTCTTAGAGGCTGCCTCGTGCTGATGGATTTAGCTCCTCAGTGCGTGGAAGGGAGGCCTCTGTACTCATTAGGGTGAGCCCTGCCAGTTGTCAGGTTGGGCTTTGGAGAAACGCTCTCTCCAACAATTTTTTTTTTTTTAGGTATATAACCCGCTTATAAAAACATTTTTAAAAATCCCAGTCCTTTATCTTGCTTGACCTGTGTGATGATTACCCAGATATATACATATGTCAATATCAAAATCTACACTGTTGTGTGTGATAATTATAGTTCATTTAAATATGAATACATATTCATATTTCATGGACTGTCAGCGAGAAGGATTTAAAAAGTGCTTTCTGGTTAGAGGTTGGCAAGGGGGATGTGTTTTGTAGGCCACTACGTAGTTGCTTAAAAATCTTACTTTCGGCCGGTGACTATGGCCTACGCCTGTCATCCCAGCATTTTGGGATGCCAAGGCAGAAGGATCGCTTGAGCCCAAAGGTTCGAGACCAACCTAGCAATATAAGAAGACCTCATCTCTACAAAAAATAAAAAATAAGCTGAGTGTGGTGGTGCATGCCTGCGCTCCCAGCTACTCGGGAGGTGGAGGTGGGAAAATTGCTTGAGCTCTGGAGGCAGAGGTTGTTGAACTGAGAATGTGCCACTGCACTCCAGCCTGGGCGACAGAGCAACTCTGCCTCCAAAACTAAAAAAAAAAAAGAAAAAAAAATGTAAGTTTTATACCCACTAGACTCTAAGCTCAGTATTTTGGGTTGGACTCCATGGTATCTTTTTGTAGGATCCTAAGAAAAGTTGGCATCTGCTTGGGAAAGAATAAGCACTTCCTGCTTATCTTGGCCTGAGCTAGGGATGGGAAGGGTGGAGTGTGAAGTGGGAGGCTGGACCGTAATGTTTCCTAAACACTGTTAAGCTTTATGGCTCTTGTACTCTTTTGTAATAGAGGTTTTATTAATTTTGAAAATGGATTTTGTTGTTATTTTATTGCCTTAAACATCTGCAAAGCCACAACGGTTCTGAAGGAGGCTAATTTCTAGAACATGGGCATTTTACTTTCTAGGCTTAAACACCATAGAGTCTAAAGGCTTTTATGTTTGGATTACTGATAAATATCTATATACTGTGAGATGACCTGATGCCTGATTTTCTCTAATATCTGAAGCAAATCTGAAGTGTCATTCTGGCCTACAGACAGAATGGTGCAGCATTTAAGAGTGTTGATTCTGAAGTCAAACTGCCTGGGTTCAAACTCCCGCTCCTCCTCTGACTAGCGTATCAAATCGTTTCATGCAAGGGGCTTTAAGATGAGAATGATAAAACCTCCTGGGTCTGTTCTGAAGACCAGGTGAAGTACTAAAGCACTTGGGAAAGTATCAGGACACCATAAGCTCTGCAAAAAAGGGAGATGCTATGAAGACTTTTCTGCTAATTAATGGTAACAGTAAATGATTATAAAATATTTCAAGCTAGAAATGATGCACAGATTGAATGTAATGCTTCAGGTATCCATGGAAGGATAGTCAGCCACTCTAGAAGATATCTAGTGGGAAAAATATCTATTCCGGTGGGATTCTTTTGATTTCACCCCTCGTCAAGTATCTTAGAAGGTTTAGTATCCAATACAATGAGGACAACATAAAAACTTTTAAAAAATATCAGGCTGGGCATATCAATATTTATTGAAATACTGAAAAAAAAATTCCATTTTGTTGGGAAATTCCTGGCAAGAAGTGACATGACAATATGTATTTCATTGATACAGTAAGAAAACATCAACGAGTAACCGACTTCACACTCTAAACATTGCATGGATTCAAGTCCAAGGCAGCTGCAGATCTGTGATACAAACATTCAGACATTACATATTGTCTGTTTACAAACATAGACCAACCATCATAAACCAAGTTAAGCCAAAAACCTTTATATTTGAGTCTGCTTTTACCGATAAGTCCTGTAATTGATCAGGCAGTTACTAAGTAAACGTCAGGTTACAAATCGGCTAACAATCAACATTAGAGAAACTTCACTTGTCAACCTTAGGTGAGCAGATGCTGGCTGTGATGCATTTTAGCTTATCAGCTCCTGTCACTGGTGTGATCAGCACTGTGGACGTCACCCTCTGTCTAACCAGTCTCATGATTTAATCTACCAGGTTAACAACATGCCAATATGTGACATTTTTTAGGTTTAATTTTCAGTGGGAAATATCTTTAAAATAAGAAAACATAGATTTTAAGAGTCAATGTGGCCAGGCGTGCTGGCATGCACCTGTAGTCCCAGCTATTGGGAAGGCTGAGGTGGGAGGAATGCTTGAGCCCAAGAGTTCGAGGCCAGCTTGGGCAACATGTGAGATGAAGATCCCACCTCTTAAAATATAAAATAAAAATCAACGTATTTGGGTTTTTGGCAACGTTAAAGGCCTTCCAAATAGTTATAGTCACATCTCGTAACTGTCTCCACCCATGTTACACATGCATGATAGAACTGTTTCATTAACTGCTGACAACACCATTGCTCTTCACGTGTCTTCTAGCCAACTTGTTTTTCAGCTGGGGAGGGCGACGATGCTGCTGTTCTCTGTAATGCTTTGGGTATGAGCTCTGATGTTGCATTGTCCTTTGAGCCATGAAGATAACACGGGTGACTGAGACTGTGCACGAGTCGACACCCAGCTTAGCTAATGTGTACCCTTCATGTGGACGAGTAGTTAGAGGTGATTAATAAAAGTAATAAAATAATCCTCTTTGTACACACAGAAGCAATAACTAATATCTTTGGTATACAACTTACAATGCTTGGAAAGGAAAACCAGGTAAGACTCCACCTTGTTTACTTGAAAACCAGAGGAAGCTACAAGTCACATAATTTACAATAGATATTAAATAAACTACAGTAGGAATTATGAAGATTTACAGACATTTCATCAAGTGAATGATTTTAATTCATTAAGACTCTTCTATGTCCCTGAACTAAGTTCCACTAACTTGAAGACATGCTACAGTAAACACATATATTTGGTTTCTTCAGTCTTGGTTATATCTTATACGTACAAAGGTGAAACCAAGAAACAATAAATTAGCATCATAATTGTCTACAGTTGAAACTATGATATACAATATAAATACACTATTCAAAAGCCAGAAACATTTATGAAAAAATTAAGAGACTAGGAGATACTTTTATTTTTTTACAGTTTCTACAAGTGATTGTGCTGCCGATAATCTCAAAAAAATTAAAATCTAAATGAGATTTCCGTTTTTGATTTTAGTGTCTCACGACATAGAATAATTAAGCACTGTTAAAAATAATTACTAATAAGAAAAATAACATTAAGGAAATAACTGCTTTTGCTATTTTGTTATATCACAGATCCCCCTGCCCTCAGGACCTAAAGAATGTAAACACTATATTTTATTTGACTTTAAAGTATTAATACTTTATTTTAAACAAATGTTGATCCACATCTGCACAGCTACCTTTTAGAATTGTGAAATAAGGCAAGACTTTCATGCCTGTGGCATCGCATGTTAATAATACTGATAACAGTCGTTTGGAGAATTTGTGATTCTTTGTCCTCCAGTATTTGTTCTACAGCGGACTTTGGTCTATGACTTAGAAAGGTCAGTATCACTCTCTTCCTTTCCCCTTTGGGGAAGATTTGAATTACTTTAATATCTTTCCAGCCACATGTAAAAATCATCGTTTCCATCCCAAGTTTTGAGGTTGTTCACTTGCAGTAAGAATAAACCTTGAGTCAATACATCACCTCATCCTTTTCTTTCTCTTTGCATAGATTAACATGCGTCAATTTTGTTTCCAAGTACTTAGAACTGTGACTATGTAACGTCCTAGCAAAATATGCTTAATGTTTTATTTTTAAATGAACTACAAACTTGGAGGATGAAAAAGACTGATGTATCCTAACAAGACTTCCTGCCAGAAAATTTTTAATGAAATCCAACAATGTCAAAGCCACATTTCAGCAACAGTAGCAGAAATAAGGTCTAAGTTGCTTTAGCTATGGAGCATTTGCTTTAATAGTTTGTAGTCATTTTCCTTAATATTAATTAACACTTATATAAGATAGAAGAGGGATACTGCCTGCATTTTCTTAACACCATGAACACATGACAAAACAGACCTCAGAACATATTTAAAATGGCAAGCTAACATATTAATAGAATTTCTTATTAGCTGTTTGCAGGTCTAAGAAACAGACGTTCAAAATTAGGCTGTTCATGATTTGGTGGAGCTACTACTGGGTGTGGCTGAACACGGGTCCTTGGTACAGATTTGGTGACCACAGGGCAGAGGTGCTGGGGCCTTCAAAGGAAGAGGGAGGGGCTATCATAGGTTCAGCTGATGCATTCTTGAGAATTGTTTCAGTTCAGCTTTACCGTGGAGGAATCCTGGAAGCTCAAATCCCCCACTGTATAAGCCTAATTAATAAGATTAGTTCCTAAATTTCTTCATAGCGGAGATCAGTTTAAATATACAAGAATCGTTCTGTCCATTTTTATTCTGACGGTGTTGGTATCCACCTGTGAGTTCAATCCACTCCATTACAATGTCTTGTATATGGAATCCTCTGGGGATGTGAAGCCTTTGATTCAC